CAAATCTTCCAATCCCCACGGGCTTTGTGTGGACTTTCATCCTGAAGCGAAGTTATTTAGTAAAGGACTGTCTAAGCACACTGTGCCTGCGCTTTGCTTGCTAACAGCAAGGCGGTCGTGTGACCTCCCGCATCGCCCCTCCCTGCGACAGTAAGGAGTTTGTGGGTGAGGCTGCATTTGTGCCTCAGATAATCGAGGTGTATGTCACCCTCTGTTCCCTTCCCTTTTGTTTCCTCCAAGACTTTAATAAACCCTTATTCAAATGGTCCCCTGTCCCATCTGTGCTACCCAGAAAGAGAGGCCGGTGGGGAGACAGGCTGGGACGGGGGGAGCGACCTCAGGAGAGAGGGCTTTGCCCTTTGGCTGCCCCTCCCTGTGTGGGCTCTGTCTCCATCGGGGACCCAGCAGGATATGCTTTGGTTACATGAAGAGTGACCATAGTGTCCTTACAGCTGCATCACGGCCATGAGCAAGCCTCGTCTGAAGCAGCCAGGAAGAGAGAGGAAACAAAGGGAGGAGGTGGGTGTGGAAGGTGAGACAGGAGGTCAGTCGTGGAGCATCAGAGCTGGGCAGGACGCGTCCTGTGAGGGACACGGGCACACAGAAGCAAAATCCTTTGCCCAAGGTCACCCAGCAAGGCACCGGCGGTGACTCCTCAAGCAGTGCTTTTAGCTCTGTATTGTGCCACCTGCCCAGGTCGGTGAAGAAGCCACAGCTGTTGTTACGTGCACAGAGCAAAGGGGAAGGAAGGTTCTGGCTCTCAGCAGTCCTACAGGGCAGTGAATGAACAGGCCGCACGACAAGATGCACACACTGGATTGGGCCCCACACACTGTGCCCTGAAGAGGCGTGTGCGAGACAGCCTTGCGCAGGACATGCACATTTGCACGGAAGAAAAACTGTTGGGTTCACACGTAAGTAGACCCTCCACCTACTGACTCGTTGGTAGGGCAGGGCTGGCGGGGCCCACACCGAGGCATGACGGAGGGGGGCTGGAGCTCTGTTAGCGTGGACAGATGACGACGTATTCTGCAGGGGACCGGAGCAGGAGCCCAGAGGCCTCTCAGAGGAAGGAAGTGTGAGAGGCTACTCCAGGGCAGAGTCAAGGCACTGGGCTTCCGTATCCAGCATTTGTGGGGACCAGGGCTAAGGAGCCGGAGGGTCAAGGGGCAGTGGCTGTGCCTGCTCGAATGGGGTAGCTTCCGTGTGTATTGTGGGGGGCTGGGGAGGGGAGGCCTGAGGGATCGAGGTGGGGGTGGGGCGCTGGGGCTCCCCTGCACTGAAGCCTTCCTCCGCAAGGCGGGAGGCCGGAGTGGCTGTGGCAGGAGCAGAAGTGCCTGGATGCTGGCGCGGGGGCTCCGCAGGGCAGTGATGTCTGGGGGAGCGTGCACATCCTCCTCTGGGTGTGAGGGGTGGGGTGCAGTGAGACGCTCTGGGTCTGGAGCCCTGGGGGCTGCAACAGCTCCCCTTCATCTCCGTCACCCCCAGACCTGCCTGGACAGCCAAGGTGAGGGCTATGCCAGTTCCATTTCTCTGGTATCTGTCACTTAGACTTTGGTATAAACGTGTCGCTGTAAGTTCAGGGGTAGCAGCAGCTGATGTCTTATCCTTACCTGAAGAACAGAAGGCTTTACCTCCGATTAAGAGAGTGTCAGTCAGCCAGTGAAGGCGCAGGGAATGCCACAAGCGATGGTAGCGAGTGTTTGTTCCCGGCACTCTGCTGTCTACCTGGAATCCTCACAAAGTCCCCGGGAGGAAGGAAGTTTTCTTGGTACTGCCCGGTCCGACTGGTGAATGTGGCCTATTTGCCTACGGCTGGTGCCTTGTACATGCTCACGCCGCTAGTAACAGGTAGCAGTTTGACACCAAAGCCTGCTCGCCTGACCGCTCTGCAGTGCTCCCTCCCAACGTTGAGCGCTGTTCTAGGCTCATCTGGAGCCTCTGGGGTAAGTGATTTATCCCTGAACCCAGTGGTCTGGCCATGCTGGTGACCCTCTGCTTGGGCACTGCCCACTGGGGACAGAACAGAGGCTCCAAGGGCTGCCCCCTCTCCCGAGTGGCCAGAGCAAAATGAAGGCAGGGAGGGAGGGAAGGGAGGCGTGGGAATGGTGGGGTGGGGGAGGCAGGAGGCTTACCCTCAGCTAGAAGGTAGGCCAGGAAGCAGTGGAGAGACAGAGGTCACTCTTGTTCCTACTGGAAGGGTGAGTATGGAAGGTCAGCTCCAGGTTGTCCCCTGGAACCTGAGCGGTCTCTGGTGGGGGTGGGTACTCAGCTTGGACACAGACAGGTGCCCATAGAGCAGTCCCAGCCCATCGGCTGAGATCTGGGGCAAGAGGAGGCCAGCGTGGTGGTGCCTACTCTGGCCCCTGGCCAGACAGGGTTCTCTGGGCATCACTTGCACCCCTGGCCTCAGCGGCCTTGGCTACCACTCTTGTTTATTTCTTTCTTTCTGCCCTCTGTGCAAACCCAGGTGAGCTGCATCAGAGTCCTCCACGGAGCTCCTGGATTTGCCCACCACGTCTCCTCACCCTCGCCCCATCACCTGTAGGCTGTGCCTACAGGGTCTCCCCCACCCTCGCCTGCCCGTCATCAGGGACACAGCCCTGGGATGGCTCCAGGTCAGCCCCCAGGGACCCTGAGAGCACGGGTGCTGTCACGACTCAGGGGGTTATATTGGGGCAGGGGGAGTCTGGGGAGACTTCTCGGAGCGCTGGATGGGGGTATAGGGAGTGGTCCCGGGGCCTGGAGGGGCAGTGGGCTCCAGAGGATGAAGACCCTCCTGTGGAAGGGCAGGGAGTGGCTGGAGGGGGGGCCGCCTCCCCACCCTCTTCGTCATCCTCCGCATTGGTGATCTCAGGCTCTTACTCTGGGTACTGAAGCCTAGAGCAGACGTGGCTCCTGCTTCTCATGTGGGTAAGATCAGGATGGGGGAAAAGGGCCAAAATGGCCATACCTCTGCTCTCTCGGGATCCTAGGATTTCTGGTGGCTTTTAAGGGTTCCCTGCTGCCAATGGGGGGGGGTCCAACCGTGTTGCAGGATCAGCTCCTGGCTGGGATGGCCTTTGTGCTTTAGAGCTGAGGAATGTTCCGTTTCCACCTGAGCTCCTTTCTTTTCAACATACAGGTCTGGGGTGGTGGCCCAGGGAAGAGGTGGGGCAGGTGAGGAGGGGCACCTGGCTAGCCTTTGCTGCTCTGCCTCCTCTTGGGACCCCCAGCAAGACTTGGAGCCCAAGTCCTTCAGCAGAGGCTAAAGAATCATTTGGAGTTTGGCAAGAAGGTTGTTTGTGACTCCTGGTGCTACCGGGCCTGGTGGACAGGGAGTGGGGTGGGGGCCTGGCACTGGGCCGGCTTAAAGAGCGCGGTTATTCCATTTCACATTTCACATTCGGTTGTGCCCTCCCCTGCCCTTTCTTCACGCACTCATTGGTTCTCCGGTGACCATCTCTTCCCACTGAGGACAAATGGAGCCTGGTTTGAATGAGGGGTGTCTTGTGAGGATGAGTGTGTGGGTTGGGAATTGGGGTGTGGTGGGGATGGGATATCCAAGAAGCTGGTGGAGGAGGGAGGACTGACTTTGGCTTCCACTGCAGTGAGCAGTGTCCCCGTTTCCCGCAGGGAAGGCAGCAGCTCCAGCTGCCCACAGTTCAGGGGTTGGGCTCCCACCCCCTGGAGATGCATCTTACGTTCTCAGTCCTCGCCCAGGCTTGTGTTCCCTGGGGGTCTCCAGGCCTCTTGTTGGATTCTGGCTCTTGCAGTTGAGCTGAGGATGGGAACCTGCAGTGCCCACGGGCTGGACACCCACGTCGCAGGGAGTTTTGAGGGACTGAGCCCACTCTAGCTTGGGTCTTAAAGCCACTGCAGAGGCTTACAAGCTCCTGAGTCAGGCCCTGTGGCAAGACCCCAGCCAGGGGCACTGGACCAACGTGAAGGGCATGGAGGACCGTCCTGTGGGGAGCGGCTTGGACATGCACTGTGAACTCAAGAGCCAGGACACTGTGTGGACCTGGAGACTTGGGCGATGGGCAAGTACACGTGGGGCATCTTCCCGTGCCTCGGAAAGGGATGAGGTAGGCCCTGGCAGCCCTCAGAGCTGCTGCCGGGTGGCTTTGCTGGGAAGAGGGCCCTCCACTCCCCACTCCACTGGGGACATCTGCAGAGAGGCTGGGCAGGAAGTAAGCTATGCAGTTCAACTCTGAGTTCTTTTTTTTCTTTTCCAAATTCATTCCAGGGTGTGTGGTAGGGTCAGTATCGCAAGTGTAGTTCTTCTTGGCCAGAGCCCCAGTAAGTGTCTTGTCTGTGTAGGGGGCCTGGCCGCTGCAGGAAGAGGGGTCAAAGGTGGTCATCCGATGGGGCCAGGGACTTTCCAAACCCCTAACACTTCCATCAGGCTCTGTCCCTACATCCACATTGAGCCCTCTTCTCTCTGACACTTGTACCCCATGGGACTTTTATTCTGAAAGAACCAAGGCCAGAGGCTGGACCTGGCCCTGACCCTGAACCAGCCCTGTGCTTCTGGGCTGTTTTCCAAGGCAATGACTCTGGGACCCTAGAGGAGGGGCCTTGCTGTCCTCAGCTGTCCTCTGCAGCCCCTGCCTCCAGCCTTGCTGGCCTTTGAGCAGAGGGTCCACCTAGCCAGGCCTGCTGGGCGTCTCCTCCTGTTGCCTTCACACCCTCATAGCCCTCAGCTTTCCATCCCTTGGCACCTCTGGCTGCTTCCCTTTGCAGTCTTTTCTGGCCTCCTCGCTGCCTGTCCTTCCCAGGGCAGCCATGGAGGCCAGGCCACTAGTGAGAGGCTCCCCATCTCTCCCAGCACTGGGCAACGGTCTCGCCCAGTCCCATCCCTCTTCCCCAGCCCGTGGGATGGAAGTATAGAACAGCCAGGGGGCCTTCAGGTGTCTGAGAGTCTGCGGAGCCCTGTGTGGGTGGGGCTGTGCCTTGGGCCTGGTTCTGTTGAGCACAGGAGGCTTTCTCGAGAAGAAGGACAAAGAAGTGGACAAAACGACTCTGCCAATAGCTCCTGTTTAAACTTTTGAACCCCAGTCACGGTCTTCCAAAAGGTCTACCAGGATAGAATTTCCACTAACCCCCAAATGCCCAAAGCTTAGTTCTTTCTTAGAAGGAAAATGAGAGGCCGGATGAATGGGGTGAGCAGAGACTGGCCATCCTTATGGGCCCTTTCCCTTTGCCTGCTCTTTTCATCCTGGAGGTGAGGTCAGTATGAGCAGTGGAGTATGAGAAAGAGAGGACTTTGGCCTGGGGACTGCAAATTACAGATCATGGGGAGGGGTGAGGAGGGACCCAGAGGGAGGGTGAGTGGGACTGGGGACCTGGCACAAGCAAGAGTCTGGAGTCTGGTGCTGTTGGCGGGGGGCCTCAGCTCCTGTCCGGCTATCTGACCTTCCGGAAGACCTGCTCGCACACTGCATCCCTGGCCGTCAGTTCCTGGGGACAGAGGAGGCATGAGGAGGAGAGAGAAAGAGGGTTCTTGCCAAGCCGGAGCTCCTTTTTCCAAGTCCTTGACCTCCATTTAATCCTTCCAGATATAGCCGCTAGAGTGTTTGATGCATGGGGAATTGTATCATTGTTCCAAATCCTCAACTTTTCACCCCAGAGGAAGGGAGGTGGCTGGGTCAGGGGATGTGAAGTGGGTGAAGTGTCCATCGCTGCAGCTCTGACTTATGGGCATTCATCTGCAGAGCAGCCAGGGCCCACCGCAGACACTCCAGTTCTTCCTCCCCCCTTCCTGGTGCTTTTGTTTTCCCTCCTTGGTCCCTTCCTCGGAAGGGGGAGCGGGGCTGCGGTAGCGGGTAGAGTAGTAGACCTGTTTGGTGTGGGCAAGGGGACACATCCTAGCAGGAGGCCCTTCTCCCAGCCACTCTCATGTGTGTCCCCCCTCCCAGCCCTCACCCAGTTACCAGATACAACTTCTCGTCCTCCAGCCAGTGTCTCCAGCCCCGGTTGGGGACCTCCCCTTTCTGCACACACACCAGCTGCTCCTCTTCCCAGGTTACTATGGTCTATAGGGGAAAGCAGGAATGAGGGAAGATTAAGGGGTAGGACCCCCCAAATGCTTCCCAACTCACTCTGGCTGGGCTCCCCCTCACGCTCCACAGCAGATACTGTCTGCTCCGGCCCTGCGTTCTGAGTGAGAGAGCTGCTCTGATCCCGCAGGACTCCACTCCCCACTCCAAACGTCCACTGAGGGGCCCAGAGTTGTCTGCGGTGACCTTTGGGGGAGAGCAGGGAGAGAGCAGGATAACTGGAAGTGAAATTGGGGAGAGGGTGATGAAGAATGGAGACTTTGTTCTCTGGACACCTCTGGTTGACCTGGAGAGGCTTTTGGGAAAGAAGAGAGATTGGTTGGGAGTCCTACCAGGTAATCTCTTTTCTCCTCTTTTCCAGTTTCAAGAACAGCTTAAGTGTCCTTGGAAAGGAAGGCTCAACCTCTCTGGGCCTGGGCATTCCAATCAACCTTTACCGAGCCCTTCCACGGGATAGGCCCTGCTAACCAAGGAGCTCCGAGTCTTGAACAGATGGAGGATCAGTAAAGAGGTGTCCAGGATACCAGGCAAGAGTGTGGGGTGGGAGTCAGGAGGGAAGAGCAGAGTCTTCAAGGAAGTTACGAGGTAATTGGATTGGAGACAATGGGACATTTCTAGCAAGGAAAGAAATAACAGAGAGGTAAGAAAGAAGGGCAAATAGCTCTGAAGGCCTCTAACCTAGCGACGATGTGGGAAGGGCAAATGAGGAGCTGGTTCACAAAGACCCTTGTCTGCCACGTTAGGTGTGTGGATTTTACCTGGAATTTAGTAGATTGACGCTGAAAGGGTGACGAGGTCACTTTGATATTTTAGATAGATCCTGTGGCTATCATATGCAGAGTGGATTAGAGAAGAGTTAAAACTGAGAGCTAATTTCTGGCACTAGGTGAGAAATGAGGGCCTGAATTACGTGGTGACAGTTTGAAAGGCTAGGAAGGAACAGATGAGAGCCATTTGGAAGAGTGATAGTCAATAGAAATAAAACGGGTCATAAATGCAAGCCACATACATAATTTAAACATTTTTAGGAACCATATTAGAAAAGTATTAATAAAAAGAAA